AAATTTCCCATAGTGATAAAGCAATGTTGAAATTAGATTTGGGGTTGAAATTAATTTGAATTTAGTCTGAAAAGGTCAAGATAATGAAAATAAGGGTCATAAGGAGGGGCACCTTATACACATTACAAATTTTATTGCTGAGGTATCATCTGTGAGGACATAGAAACCATAAGGTTACTTGAGTACCTTGCTCCTAGAAATTCACAGGCTTTCTCTCAGACTCCACACAGTAAAATTATGAAAACTAGGTATTTCATAATAATAAATAATAATAGTCTAATGGCTTAAATAGCATCTGTAGCAAATTTAGGGGGAGACCATGGACTACTGCTCCTCCTGTCCAGTATATCCAGCAGAGAGAGCTGACACCAAGTTGTGAAGATAAAACTTGGCCTGAACAGTTAAAATATGCTCATCTGTCTCTGCAGCTAAGCAAAACCACCTTTTCGTTCAGCCTTTGATGAAAATCTATGAAATACAGCAAAGCTGGCAGGGAAGGATAAAGGAATAAGAAACTAGACATATAGACAATAAGAACTTTCATCTGCTTTTGTATTTTGGGTGAAAGAATGACTGAATAATTACAATCTAATAATTAATTCTATTAGCCATGATAAGTATGTTCCAGAGAAAGAGAGACATTTGAGCTGACAATGCAATGTGGACAAGGCACACTGGAGTTTCCAAGTGCATGCTTTGTGTTCTAAATGAACACTTGTAGGGTCAGGCCCAGAGGTAGCACAGCTGCTTTCAGGCAGTGAGGAGCTGAAATAACCTGTCAGGCTCTTGAGGGTATGTGGAGAGCCAGGTCAGCACTTCATAAATCCTATTCCTATGACTGGGCACAAAGCCAGACCCTCTTCATCACATCTGTGATTCAGCCCCTGCTGATCAGTTTGATTCGGGTCTGTTAAGAAGCACTGATGTGTCTGCTCTGTACTCCCAGAATAAGGAGCAGGCTGAGTGGGTTTAGTGTGACACCAAATTCTACTATCTCCCAAATATTGTACTAAAAAGGGTCATAGCGCTGTCTGAGTCCCAGCCTGCCTTGTATCTTAGGCAACTGCAAAGTACTTCCCTGGTATTTATCATATTGAAATTTCTTATGTTGTCCTGGGTTCTGCGTACAAAATTCTAACAGTATGCTGATGTGCCCATAAATCTAAGCAATAATAAATTAACATTTATTAAATGCACTAAAGCATCAATATGAGAATCAATATGTCGCTTTACAGTAAAGTTTTATTAATACATGCATTGGTTTAAACTATGTACATCATCACATCTTTTGCAGCCCTCACAGCACACAAATCCCAATAGAACTCACATGCAGGTTTCTCTGTCTTTATTCCACTACAGACTCCTTTGAAGTCCATAGGTGTTGTATGTGTACAATTGAACACATTTTGGTACCTACAACCCTAACCACACTGAATGTGGCACTGTAGTATTCTAAACATGGATCACAGTCCTATCAGTCTCCATGTTGCTCCCAAGACTTCTGTGTGACACATGAATTTAAACTATTGCTTGAGGTAGAATTTATGTGCTCATTCTGAATTTATACTATTTAAATTGGCTTCCATATAACAATACAAAACATGCTTAAAATCAGCTTAAGTGCAATTATTACTGCAGTTACTTGATTGAAGTTTTTGGTATAGTTAGTGGTGTAAAGAGCTTTCCACAGTAGCTCTCCTATGTACTCTATTACTGTGTAATCTTAATAAATCTAATAAGTAATTTTTTTCAAGCTCTAACAACAATGATTTAGTCTTTTGGTTCATATTTTGCACAGCAAATTTATAATTGAAGAGAATTTATTTTTTTTCTGGAAAACTTTAGCAAGATCTCATTGGCTGTATTTAAGAAAAAGTGAAGGAATGAGTATTTGTACTGGCCAGAAAAAGCAAAGAAATAGTCAAGGTACTAAATTCAACATGATTTGCCTTATGTCCCATAATGCAAAAAGCAGTTTGGACCCTACACATTTGAACTCTTATTCTTACAGGCATGGGCCAACTTGAAAGCTGGATGATTTCTTGTTTTCTGTGATTTAAGGGCTTCTTAAGAGCATGGCTCTGTCACTCCTTCCTAAACCATGTAAAGGCAAAAGGCCAGCTAGTCTTTCACATACCTCAGCTGGCAATTCTCCATTTCTCAGCAGCAATCTCCTTTGAAAGCAGCTGCCATTTTAATTTTTTGGCTGCATGATCACATCTCAGATTCTAAAAAGGCCCATTAGCCTTCTGCTCAATGAGAAATTAAATCTCAAATATCTTTTAAATAATATTTTTTTTCATACAAGTGTATAGCTTGGAAATGTAACAAGGAATGGGCACTGTGGGGCAGCAGGGGGAGGTACAGGGTATAAACTAAAGAAGTGTGCCTTAGCATTTTCTTTCTAGCATATGTTCTCACAAGCAAGTGGGCACTTGACCCCATTAACATAAGACCAGTACTCTAAAATTGTGTTTCCTAAGCTTCTTAAGGTCTGACTTCTTGAGAGTCACAGGATAATGTGCATTCTATTTCACTTGTCACGTGAGATATATAATGCTTATTTGGTACCTTTCATCTCAAGACCATATGTACTGTCCAGGGGTCTGGAACTTCTGATTTCAATAGTCAGGAGCTCCTGACATTTCTGTGCAGTTTGGAGACTCTTTGGTTGACCCAGGCTGATATCTGAACTACTCAAATATTTATTCCTTGCTCTCTAAGTTTCTCTGAGAAGTTTCACTGGTGTCTTAATCAGAAAGTGACATGATTACTCATAATACAAATGCCAGAGTTAATTTTGGCTGTCTTGCTCTAATTGCTCTCTAATTAGGACACTTCCGAATGAAGCATGGATTCAGGCAAGATTCCTGGCTCACTGTGGGCATGTCTAGTTTACACAATCCACAAAGCGTTACAGGCTCTTTTAATGGTCACTCCACAAAAAGATAACCACCTCTGAGTGGTGTCTGCCCACAGCCAAGCTCGTGAGCAACATCCCCTTTTTGCCGACACGCACTGCATTCCTTGGAAACCGAAGTGTTGGCAACTACAGAGGGCTGTTCCAGGGCAGGGCCGTAGCTCGGTCAAGGACAGGTTCAGGGCACCGAGGCAGGTTTTGGGAAGCGGCACTGCTGGCAATCCCTGCGGGACCCTGCCAGCCCCGTTCCGCCCGTTTCCTGCCGGCCCCGCTCCCGAAGGCGGCGCCGCTCGGCTGCCCTCTGGCGGCCGGGCCGGGGCTCTGAGGAATGTCTTGTAATGGACCTACAAAATTAGTGAGTTTTATTGATTATCTGTAATGTATGTACTGTGTTATAATTCATTAATTTGATTGAGAATTTAGAGCTCCTTACCTTTCAAGCTCTGTTTCTACTGACTTTCAAACACTTGCATATTGACAAATGAATAGCATTGATTTTCCTCGAGTAGATTGATTGCTTAGATGCAAAAAAATTCTCATTTTTTCCCCGCATGGATGATAGCAAACGAAGAGCTGCAGCTTTGATCTCACTGACTGGCAGCCTCTTCTATTCCTCTGGCATGCACTTTAATTTGATGATTTTTTTTTTTTTGAGGCAAAATGAAAGAATTGCCTTTTGTGACATTTTCCTCTGCTATGCCAGTTTCTTATCTGTATCCATTTTGCAAAAGGGATCTTTAGATACATTTCCTTAGATTTTCCATCATACTGCTCAGTATCCCAATATTAAAAGTTATTTCTTTAATAGTGCTAAAGAAGCTGTGGCAGCAAGGCAACCAACTAAAAGGCAGGTGTGAAATATGAAGTAGCACACGTATTTAAGAAAATTACTTGGTACAACCAAAGAAATTACAACAGAGAGCAGAGAAGATGGAGAAGTCTGAAAGGTACTGGCAGATGATCGCCATTTGAATTAATCATTTGTCCCCACACTGTTGAGCAGCGAGGAGTTATGAGCCTGAAGGAAGGCAGTTTGGGTTTTTCTTTGGTATGACCTACATGCAAGCCCCAAACATCCTGCTGAGATTCCTACCGTTCTCACAAGGCACTCGAGGCAATTTGTAATGACTGTAGGTGGAAGCTTATGGTCATACACTGATTGCTTAGGAAGATGTTATCTGAAACAATTTATAGAAAATATTTAATAGAAAATATTTAATAGAAAATATTTAATGTACAGTTTGCAAAACAGGGAGACCTGCTGCTCTACATTCCTTCATCTCCTCATCAGTTTTAAAATCATGTATACATTAGTATCATAAAAACCCCTGCACTCTGCAGGCCACACTAGCACAACAGAAGGGTGTGGGCGTGTTTCACAGCGCTCTAGACTCACCTTTCTCATGCTATGTGTTGGGTTCCTTCCAAGTGCCAAATCCTCTTCACAGGCTGTACTGCCCAGCTCATTTTTCATGCACAAGAAATGGCAGACTTTAGCACACAGTTTCATAGGCGATGACAGGATGGACAGCAGACTGGAGGAAGGGTCCAGGAAAAATCCTGAAATGTGGACTGCACCTTCCTTTCACTCACCCACTCTGCGTTTATTGCTGGGGGCGGAGGGGACGGGACAGACACACAGTGCTCTGGAGCACCAATAAAATACTCCTGAGCTGCTTATCTCAATTAAAACGTTTGTATTGCCCCCCCCAATTCAAACCAAGTCAAGGAGAAGCAAGGGCAGGATCAGTAAGCTGGGTTCAGGTGCGGGCACTGAGGAACTCACGAAAGCCGGAGGGGGACACCACCACCTTTTAGAAGGGGAGTGACTTCTTTCCGCCCCCTCCCCGGGCCGCTCCCTGCCGGCTGAGCGGAAGCAGGGCCGGGGTACCTCGGCGGCCGCAGGTCGCAGCCGGGCGCGGGCGGACGCGTGAGGGCGGCGGGCGGCCCCGCTCCGCCGCTGCGGCGGGGCCTGGGCGAGCCCATCTCGCCGTGCGCGCAGGGAGGGAGCGAGGACGGACGGACGGACGGACGGACCGACCGGCGCGCGGGCGGGGGGAGCCGCCGCCAGCCGGGTGCTCGGCAACCTGATCCCGGTCCAACATGGTCGCCGCTCACGCCTCCCATTCCTCGTCCTCCGGCGAGTGGATCGCGTGCCTGGATAAAAGGTATCGGCATCTTCCCAGGAGCTGCTGCGGAGGGATGCTGTGTGTATGCATGTATATATATATATGTGTGTGTGTGTGCGTGTGTGTGTGTGTGTGTGTGTGTGTGAGCGCTGACACCCCCCATCCCCGCTCTCCATCAGATCCTGCCTTACATAAGGAGCGTGCAGGTGGGAAGCGAAACGCCTGGGGCAAGCCAGGGCGGCGGGAAGGATGAAGGCTGGAAATACTACGGGCAGCGGAGGGGACAGGCAGTCCCCATAGGGATTGCTGCTCCCTGCCGGGCAGATACTGCACATGGTGGAGGAGGGGGAGCTCCGGGGCGGAGAGGGGGCCTGGGGCTGCCAGCCGGGGACCCGCCGTATCGGCCATGGCACACCCGCTGCATTCTGCCCTCGTCCTCCCTCTCCTGCCCTCACGGCGCCCCGCCGCACCGGCCGCTGCCTCCCCTCCGCTCGGCACACCGCCCCCGCAGCCGCTGCACAGCCCCCGCCCAGCGTCGTCGCAGGCGGGCGGGAGGGAAAGGACGAGTCCTTCTTGTCCCCACTGCGGCGCCCCGGGGCCCGCGGTTGTTCCCGGCTGCGGGTCGGGTGCAGGCGGGCGGCGGCACCGCGTGGGTGGGAGGCACGGCTGGCTGACGTGTGCTCAGAGGCGGTGTGCGCGCTGCCAAAAATACGGGAAAATTATTATTACTATTAAAAAAAAAAAAAAGTAAAAGAAAAAATTCTTTGGAATGCTTTCTCTCGGGTGCTGCAGCCCAAAGTCTCGCAGTGTCGAGTCGCGTGGTGGGTAGTTTGAACGCCCTTTGCTGTATTCATACCTTTGATTCCTGGATAAGTTCAGAAGTCATTTAATGTCTGAACACTCGTTGTGTCTCCTGGGGTCCAGGAATTGAGTTAACAAAAATGTAGACTGTAGATACAGATATATATAGATGCAGCTCAAAACAAAGCTCTCAGAGAGAATTCCCTCAGGTGGTGTTCGGCAGTTATCTGAGCATCGTGAGCCAGCTTTTGACAGGTGCTACCATTTGGGCTGTGCTGTGGAGAGAACCCTTTCTGCACATAGAAGGGACCTTCCCCTTCTCGTAGTTTCTCCCCTTTCCAGGTAACTTCAGTCTCGTAGGACTGCACTTCTCATTAGGTTTTCCTTAACAGTCCAGGTAGCGAAGTGTAATAAGTTAATGGAACTTTTGAGCTAGACACTCCAGCCACCTACGATAGAAACTGATCCCCTCTGTAACATGTGATTTAAGACTAACCTCTTAGAGATCAAATAATGTGTATGAATGTTGAAAGCACTCCTAAAGTAAATGCAAACAGAACTGTTGATGGTAATCTAGCCATCTAAAAACCAAAGTGAGGCCTCTCTGTAAACTGATGTTGAGCAGATGTGAAAGTGGGTATGAGTCCCAGTAGTTTTAGATAGGTGATCCTGTAGTTTCTGGCTTCCTACATGCAATATATTGTGAGATCCAAATTGTAAGCTAAAATTCAAGGCTTAATGAACCTAGCTTAACTTTAGCCTTGGGGAGTAGATGATGTATTTAGGAAATATATTGTGGCATTTAATTTAGAAATCTCTCTGTCATAATTAGTAAGCTGACCCTTTCTATAACACAGATTTCTTTAGAGCTATTTTCTTTCACTTTGTTTTTTTTATTTGAAGTAAGCTGGTACCACCAATTTGTTGAGTAGAAAGAATCAGTTCCAAGTGCTCTTAAGAATTATGCCTTACCCTTTCCTGGGAAGCATTCTATACATAGGACAAACACATAACATGAAAGATTGTAGTTTTTTTCCTGGTCTCTTCTGTCCTCTGCTTTGTGATCATAGGAAGTATGCTTATGCATTTTATTCTGTTTTTCCACCTGAAAATGTAGATAGTTTTAATTAACTTACACACTTGTATATCTAATCAGTATACTCATTTGAATTATTATCAATATTTTAAGCTTTTTAAAAATTGTACAGCATTTTCTATCCTAGGTGTGAATTCTGTGAATATGGGCTCATTTAATGAGTAAATTCTCTATAGAGTACTATGTGTTTTTACTAAATAATAAATAGAGTTTTAGTATGTTTAAGTCAATGAATATATTTCCGGGAGGAAGACAGTTCTAAAACTGGTATGCTAAAGAATGTTAAGTGAGCCTCAACAATGACAATTAAAATAATATGTAATATGAATTATCCAGTATAATTATGTGAAAAAAAAAATCTAAATGTAAGGAGCATAATACATAATGTATAGAAATTATGTGTTTTGTATTTGTTCTTCAGGTTTTTCCCCAAATCATGTGTCAAAGTGGAACTACTAACATCTAAAATTAGAGCACATAGGAAAATGCAGAACTGCTAAAATGTTACAGGAGAAATGTTATTACTAGTAGGGTGCTGTGTTCTGGTACTACTGGTGCTTTGTCCATGCAGCTTCCATGTGTAGTTATTGGCCACAAAAGTCAAAGATCCACACTCTAAAATCAAATACATGGGACACTGTTTATATATAAAATTACAAAGGTAAATGTAAGGAAAATTTCAGAACACTGTGCTCTATCAGGATTATTTTTTTTTTTTTGCAGGAGAGAGAGAGGATCAGAGGTGAGCAACTGTACATCCTGGTTATACCTGGAGATGTAAATAATTTTTCTCTTGAGGAAACCAGTTCTTTTACATTTGAAGTAATAGTTGCCTTAACACTGATTTCTTGGGGAGCAGAAGTATCCCTCTGATCTTAGCACTTTTCTGTATGTCTGCTCTGCACATAATTAAAAAAGGGTCACTGATTTTTGCATGTGTGTACAGTAAACATAGGAAGAATGTCTTCTCTATTCTCATGTGTTCTTTCACACCAAAAAAAAGTCTAATCAAGAAATTTCCATGTTGACAGTATCTTTACTGAATGGTAGACAAAGTGTTTTTTACATAACTATTGTTTTTCTAAATATGATCACATTTATTAATTCACTTAATTGTTTTAATTGGATTCAGATGCACATTTTTAGGCATGTACAGCATGCACACCTGGTAGAGATCCCAGGATTTCATACCTGGCTATGGCATCTTATGTTTTTCTCTGAATTAAAAGTAACCTTCAGTGCCTTAGCAGACTGGAAGGGCAGATCACAGGGCAAAGCATGTAACTTCAATGGCCTGTTGTGCTAAGAATGTTACGATCTTTGCCTAATGCCTTATAAATTATTTAAGTAGGAATGGGCTTTTCAAGGACATACCATACATACTGAGCCTTTATAACCTTGTCATCCTTGTTAGTCTTGCATCATTTATGTTTAAAAAACCCAAAATAATGCATACTGGGTAGTATCTCAGACCTGTTCCTCCCACAGATTTGAATGTAAATTCACATTGAAGCTACATAGCATAACAGCAACATATTTGAATCAAGATTTGGTTTTTTAGTTCAGTGTAACATGTATTTGAGATGCAAGCTCATTTGCTTAGTAGTAAACAAGAGATCCCTTGTGAGCAAACAGATAGGCTAGAATAAAGAATTGATATTCTGAAAGGATTGTTGTAGAACAAATAGAGAAAATGCTTGTCATCCTCTATAATCTTTAATTATGTCAAAGATAATGGGATATAGATTTATAATTAGGCAATATTATGAATACAGTTGCATTATGATGCTATTTTATTTTAAAATATATTTTTTGTGCAATTGGTAAAACTTAGACTATCTTCTATATAAATTTCTCCCTTATTATTTATAACAAATCCATAAGAATATTACCATTTTCATGTAGTTTAGATCTGAACAAAAGCATGGACATACACTGCAGTTCCGGTTGGCTTGTGTGCTTCGTGTTTTCTCTCTGTATAGTGTGTGACTAAGCTGGTATATGCTTGGATCAGGTCTGTGTGGGGATATAGCAGCAGAAGGCACTGCAGTGGATGTGGAAACTCAGAGACAGAACTGTATAGACATAGCCTAAGTGCTTTCTAGCACTTCTGCGAGGGTGCAGTCTTCTGAGAGTGATGAATAACAAATTTATCTTTCCACATCATGCACCTCATTTTCTAGTCCAGGGCAAAGGTACAGTCTTTGGTGAATAATAAAAAAGCCTTTTCCTTTCCATGTTTTCATAGAGAAACCAAAATAATTGTTCAGTTTGTAGCTCTGTGCATTTTATCAAATATCTGAATTAAGATTAAACCCTAGTGAGAGCAGGAGTTGTATTTTAAACAAATTCAAGCTGTTTTGTTCTTTGCTCTCCAGCTTATGCATTTGCAGTATTGGCTTCCATTTCTTACATGTGATTCCTGTAAGTTACACACTTGTGCCATGGACAGGTATTAAGAGGAAGAGAAAGTAATTACCCCGGCATGTATACACATTGTCATAAGCCATCAGAGCAAGGCAGTATGTGCACATGCCTTTTAGGGCATGATATATTCAAATCTAGTTGGTAGTCTTGTGTAGTAGTCTTGTGTGCTGCACAATTGGTATGCTACATGTGCATTTCTTTCACCTGCTGATACTGGAAACTTGTCTAAAGTCTCGTTGCCTGAATTCTTTCTGACATGTTGTTAGGATTTTATCTTTAAAATCCTATACTCTGAGCAATAAATTTATTTTATAACAAAACTCCATATTCCAGCAAAGGAATAAAAAACCAACAAACCAGCAAATAGAATCTGTGCCCTCAAAAGTCAGGTGTTCACCAGATATTTTCTAAATACAAGCATTTTTCTTATCTAGCATGACCTCTGTTTTTCTCTGTGTTGTACAATTAGCTGCATTTAACAAAGCTTGTAATTTTAATGATACTTCCTTTGTGCTGTATTTTCTGCACTGTATTTGGCATGATCAGTTACTATTTCTGCTGCTTTTTCAATATCCATGAATGTTTCTAAACTGACTTTCCCTTCCATCTTTGCATTTATCAGTTGTCAAAATGCATGCAAACGTAAATCTTTAAAACTTTTTCCATTGTTGCTGTAAATTTTAAATTTTCACTAGCTGTAACAATGCAGATCCTA